AGAGAGAGAGAGAGAGAGAGAGAGAGAGAGAGAGAGAGAGAGAGAGAGAGCTTGAGAAAGTAAGATACTTATCGTATCCTATTTTATCATCATTATTTAAAGATTAGCTAGTGTAATGAAGAAGATGATTCATTACTCTCAATTATATCGTGCTAATTCTTATCTTTTATAAACATCAAGCCCTCTATTTTTGACATCCTCGACTAAGATAAAGCAGATTCGCGCGAATTCGTCGAACTCAGGACTCGATTTTCGTAATTGTGTTCTACCGAGTTATCTCGTAGATTGCTATTTGCGTATTGTCACGAGATTCGGTGATGCACTTACATTGTTTCTGTCCGTCCTCCCGGAGAACGATGTTGCGGCCGTCCTCCCGTTTCCAGGTGACGATCGGTTTCGGCGACCCGGTAGCGACGCATCGCAGCCTTATACTGCCGCCCTCGTGGGTGACCATACCATCTGAGGACTCGTCGTCCATTATGTCGGGCGGTATCACTACTTCCATGTATCCCATCTAAAGCACAAAGACAGAAAAAAAAAAACGTAGGGCTCTCGTAGTAACGGGGGGAACTGCGTACTTCATGAGGCCAAGATCTAATCGACTACCTTTTTAAGGAGTAGAAGTGGACTCAATAGGGGAAATTGCTACGCGACGAAATGGCATTTCGAATTTTTAATCGGGGCTTCTTGCATATTGCTGTTTAACCGAATAATTTAATTTAACCGCTGAGAATCGAATATTACGAGAAGAAGTCTATTATTTTATGTTCAACGTCCACTTCGCTACTTAAATTATCTTTCCTATGTGGAGGAACGAGAACGAATTAATTAAACCTTGCTGTCTCACCACGAAGGCGAGGATCAAAGAGTTAAAGAGACCGAAATTCTTTTTTCGAGGTAAACAGCCCGTAGAGAGCCTGTACTAAGGCGGTCTGGTAAAGACAAGGCTTGAATTGCTCGTCGTAGAAAAAGCACATTGTTTTACGGTCCTGAGCACGTGCACGATGAGGGTATCCTCGCAAGGGTGTAATGTGTGGTGGTATAGAATTTACTGGACGTGGAGCGGTGCTATTCGATTCAATGAAACCAGCATGCAAGGGAAGATATGGTTTACGGCGAAACAAAATAAACGTTAGCCTGAATTCCCTCTCCTTATCGTTCAATGCTCTTTTTTTCATTTGTTTTACTTAATAGACTACTAAATATGGAGATAAGAGTGCGCTTTGTATTCGTTATCGCTTCTTTTTCACATTGGATTCGTATGGCATCTGTCGCGATAATGTTTCAACGTTACGAACGCTGTTTAAATTTTACAGTTAATATTGTTAACAATAATAATAATAATGTTTCTGTTCCAAATATAAATTTTATGCGTCTTACATCATATAATATAATGATGAAAACTGAAATTCCTCGATTATTGATGAGAATCGTGTTTCGATGAATCAAAACAAAAATTTATTATTCGAAAATATATTACTTATTAAATATGAAACAACGCAAAAATAAACGTACGATTTTTTTGTTAAATGTATTGCAATAGCAAGTATTAATATCTTTAATATTAATATCTTTAATACCAAATTAAAGAATTAGACAGAGTTATAATATGTTAAGTGTTTTACAATACGAAAGAATAAAAATGTAATATTGCTAACAAATTCAAGTAATTGAAAAATTATTAAGGAGATATTAGTAGGTCGGGAAAATTGAATTTTTTTTACATATTTTGCAAGTATTTGATATGAAAAATATATCCGCAAAGAATTTAGCCTGCAAAATTAACAAAGTTATAGAGAGCGGTCTTCGGAAATTTTCCCCAAAAGCAATATGTTATCGTGAGAGTTGCCAACAACGTTTGACAGTTTGGCGACGAAAAATATCGATTAGTTTGGATCGATTCGAAGTACGTATTACTTCAGGACAACGACAAAAGGGTTAAGTAATTTATAAAAATAAAAGATAACGAAGATAGTAACGAGGGATGCGCCACTGGTCACCGGATCAGACGACACTCATTATCCCGCGAGTGTGCGAGGTCTTTGTGTATTAACTTTGTCGTCGTCATTGTCGTCTCCAGGTCGAAAATATCCGTCGTGGCGGTGCGAGACGTCAGTCAGCATAAACCGTGGTAAAGTGTCTCGGTGCGGGCTGCCGTATAAAAGGGACGCCTTTTTACGGCCCTGGGCACGTACCGGTGACAAGGGCGGTTCACTGGGCTAGTATGCCGGTTTACCGTGTGTGGGTGGAATTTACTGGTCGTGGTGCACATGTCCCGCGGAATTCAATGCGACCGGCCAAGCGGGAAACCTTCCGATGCAATATACGGCCCTGCCGCGTGATAAAGGACCGAGAGTGCTTGTCGTAGTACAAGGAGCGAGTGAGACGAACGATAGGTCTGGGTGCGATAATGCGTTTGTGTGTACGTGTGTGTATGGGGGGGGAGGGGTGGTAAGACGAAAAGAAAAGAGGGTCGAGGAGATAGAAGACAAACGGAGAGAGACCTACGTCGGGAGCAGATCTTTTAAAGATAATTTGACGTTATGCGGGTAATATGCATAGTTGATATGGTTATGACCGCTTAGTGTAATCTAATATATTTGATATATATATATATATATATATATATATATATAATGAAATATACATTATAAAAAATTAGATATTGAAAAAATGATATAAGAGAAGGGAACAGGATAAAAAATATTAAATTTAGGAATTTTAAGAAATCCGGGAAAATGTATGAAATTTTGATCAGGTACAAATCTATATATACGCTTTCAAAATATATAGTTAAATCAAACATATCTTTAAGCAAGTAAGAGCTTAACGCAGATGTTGAAGCGAATATCTAAACTCATATAATAAATGTGCCAAATTGCAAATTGATATATTGCGAACTTTTCAGAAAAAAAATTTATGAATAGAGCCTATTTTTCAAGCGACCAAAAGTGAAGGGATCTTCGATTAAAATCACAAATCTTCTGAAAATTCGATTAGCGCTAATCTTACCGTATTTATTTCAAGTTATTCATTGTTATAAATTAATAATTATTAATTATAGTTGTTAATTTATATTATTAAAGTTTTCTTGGCGCGATGATTCTACAATTTTAAGTTAGATTAAACCTAATTAGCATTTTAATCTAGGTATACAGGGAAATCGCATTCTCACATTGGTATTCCTTCGTAGACTTTGGTGGAAAATCGTAGTAACTGGCCAGACACGCCTCGCATTCTGTAGAAAATACGCATGCCGAGCAGATAGAATTGCGATATAAGTGCGAGCGATAAATAATTTCGCATCGGTCGAGGCGGCGTATAATACTCGGCTCAGGATTTAAGACGCGACGGGATATTTCTCGACCGCGCGAGCAAGCCCAGATCCTCGTCGCTGGGAAACAGTCGCTCGAAGCCGTACGACGTGTGCACCTGCCGCACTGTTGGCAATAATTTTCCCTGTGCTTTCTCGAACGCGCGGCTCGCCTTGCCGAAAATCTGCATAATTAAAGTCGCGCGTCACGTCGCGACTTTGCGCCGCTATGACTTTTCCGGCAAACATAAACCACAGTAGCCTATGGATAATAGGTAATAATCCATTTCTACACTGTACGAAGGAATATTTTCTATATAGCGCGATTCGTCGTAATCTCTTTGATTCGTTCAAATCAGACTTCACTACTGCTTTACTCGATTAGAATTTAGTCGCACCAAGAAAGGACAATGCTGAAAAATGATGAAAATTTGCCCATAAGGGAAATGTATGAAGTCGGTTATTTTCTGGATCGTTTTTGGATCTGCTGAACTTAAATATTCAAACTTAAAATTGTCGCGGGGAAATTAGTGAAAATGCAAATTTTCTATGGAAAAACCTCGTATTATAGCAAATATTTTTTCAACGAACGATTGCAAAAAACGAACGATTGTCAATTTTTTCAATTGACTTTATTAATTTTTTCATTGATATTTATGTGAATTCAACAGATAGTTCTTGATTACTTGACATACAGAGTGTCTCAGAACAATCTTCGAAGCTCTCGAATATTTTCTCGACTGAAGTTTCTCTCTTTTCCTGTGCAAGACGTATTTATACTTAAATTTAAGAAACGAGCTTTGTAGTATTAACATTTGTGACTCGCAATGTGATGAAACCGGTTCCATCGAGAGGAGTAGGTCTTTCGGATTAAAATCGGTGTATTAGAAGTCGAGCGTAAAACAAAATCACTTAAGAGCTTTGTATAAGAATAAGCTGCGTTCTGATTTTAACGGTGCTTCTCTCTACTTCAAACAGAATAAAATAGTCTCTGCTTTTGTAGGTCGGCTTTGAGCTGCAGCTGCAGCGGTAGGCCGATATTACAACCGATATTACTCCGCGAAATAATGGCCGTGGTAAAGAAAGCGCGCGTTAAAAAGTTATGGCCGGGCTTGTGTATGGAATTTTAAAAATTCCGTGCCGCGGACGGATCCGACGAAATTGTGCGAAACCTCGATCTTTTTAATCGAATTACGTCGTGCAGCGTGGGCTCTGTCGATGGAAATCGATAGAGCCACGCGCGTGTAACGGCCGTCGTGCGTGATTCCAGCGGAAACGCCGGCGAAAAATAAAGCGTCGGCTGGAAGGTAAATGGAAATTAATTTAACAGAGATACGTTGTTATTGCGGACGCGCGTCGCAGTTGTTTCAGTACTGCACTAGATAATACTGTTTGAAGATGCGTTTACTCTATTACAAAAAAAAAATAAAAAAAGACAAGAGGGAGAGAGAAAAAAGGGCTTTCATGTCATTGAAAGCAATATGTACATCGTTGTTGGGGAGTGCTTACTAATTTTTGAAGTGTCATTTAACTGCGCTACGACACGTTATTTTAACGTGTATCTTTTAATCGTCGAGCGTCGACTCTGTTTGCACGTGTTTGTTTACACTGGGGATTGCATCCCGGCTGCTCACCTGACTACGCATGGGGTCAGTGTTGACTTGGCACATGTACGTGCCGGAATCGTTCTTCTGAACGTTCGCCACGTGCAGTTTCCATGTGTTGTGTCCGTTGTGCGTGACCGACAGCCGGGAATTGTGCGCCACCATGTGCGTGTGTATCGCCAGAATCGCTCGGGAATCCGACTTTATCCAGGCTACCTGGAAACACCGGCAAAAGCGGACGGTACTTTTCAAGACGAGAGACACGAGATCAGTGGCGATTAACCGTTCGCTAATTGAAATACGAATTGTCCACCGAAAGTCCGGTCAAAAGACAAAGTACTTTACTTTGTTGCATTGGGTTGTTTGACAAGTAATTTTGAATTTTTTTCGGATAAAATAAATTATATTTTTTTACTATTATAATCTTGTGAAACAATGTATGCGAAGTATAGCAGCAGATTCTAAGTAAAAAGGGCGCATTATATATTTTTTTTACCTAAAAAATTCGCGATTACACAACCCAATACATTGACTGTGTTAACTCATCAGTGTTACGGTTTGAGGAAATTCTTTCACACTCGAGCAAAAGATCGAGAATAAACAAATTTTTAAAGCAAACGTTTAAAGCAAACGAATTAAGAGGTTGTATCAAAATTTATCATGATGATAATAATAGAATATAGTCACGGGGCGAGGAGACAAAATTGCTTGAGTTTTCATCACAATCGGGATACGTGCAGGATGTTGCACTTAAATGCAGGTCAGTATAACGGGTTGTGTATGCGTTTCGCTGGCAGGTACGCGTAGTCATGCGCAGTCTCAGTAGGTCTTGGAGGAATGCTCATTTGGAATGTAAACTTCATAGGGAAGAAAGTGCGCGAGTGAACCAAGGCTTACTGAGACCGCGCACGACCACGCGCGCATGCTAGCAAAACGGATAGTCAACTTGTCATATTCTGACTTGCATATAAATACAATATCCTGTACATCTATTTTAAATCTGATAAGATCCGGAATTAGTCCGATATAACCGACATTCACGTCGGTTATATTGGGTTAATTCCGGATCTTATCAGATTTCGCGGTAGTCACGGGCAAGTGTAGTTAGACTCGGCAAGAAATTCGGGTGTCGGGTGAGCAGAAGATACATATTTAGATTATGTCGCGTTAACGGGTACAGGTCTCTCGTTTTGCTCCGGTAAAAAAAACATAGCTGTTGCATGTCTTGAAACTTGAGTCTTGATGCAAGTTTTATTACAGTTTCCTTACAACACGTATTTGGACACTCGTTAAATTAAATGTAGACACAAGTTTAAAATGAAAATTTGTTTCTCACTTTCCTGTTTGCATCTATTTCCCTGACCGAGAAACAAACTTATATTCCGTTTAAAGATGATATACGGACACAATTTGACAAAAGGAAATTGTTGTACCTTGTAAGATTGCAGATGATTAACGACGCAGGTGAAGAAGACGTCGCGACCTTGGATCACCGTGTGATTTTCCAAAGGAGCTAAGAACTCGGGTAACACTTCCGGGGTGATTTGGCCTGAAACATTGTAACAATGTGATACATTCAATTACTGTGTGCATCGGTTCTTTTTCTTTCTCTTCTTCTCGATCGTGTGAAACGTCGAAGTAACTCGTCGCGCGAATCAATAAATAATACAACAAGACTCTCGCGATGAAATTATAAAACGAACAAAAATATTTATTTGTTTATCTCACTGAAGAATACTTACTATATACAGATTAATTTTTTCGATATTTGGATTCACCTTTCTCTCTTTTCAGAAAAATGTGAATAATCAAAAAAATCTAATCACTTTAAAATAGTCCACTCATTTTCTTTATACGTGAAAAAAACACAAGTCTATTAGTGCAATTAAATTTTCTGTTATTTAAGGATCAGATTTGGTTATAGGAACAAAAAAACTCCTGTAGGAAATATTTACTCAACCTATTAGTTATCGAACCGAATTTTAATGAAGCTGAATATTCAGACGAATGTTATTTAGTTGCCTGAACTAAATACTTTTTTTTTACAACAATCGATTTCATCCTACATATAAAAATGTAACTCTAAGTTACCACACTGGGGTAAATTTTACCCCAGGTAAAACTTTGTGAGTCTTTTGGGAATTGCGAGGTTGGTATATTTTCCAAACTATTATCTTTTTCATATTTCTCTATACATAGACGAATTCCTTGAAGTCTGGTGTTTCGATGGAAAAATAATTTTTTGAAGTTGATTGACTTTTGTGGAAGTTATAAGGAAATATATGAGTAGCCATTACCCCAGTATGGCAGGCTCGTGATTTTTTGAAAAGGTGATATTTTAAGGTGGGACCATTTAACTGAAACGTTCGTTTGATTTAATGCATGATTATAAAATTTTAAGTGGTCTCTTTCGCTACGAGGCTATTGTAGGTTCGCTCCTACATGCATATATTTGTTTTTAATTTTTCGTTTTACAAATAAATAAGCTAAATAAATATTAAGATAATATTAAAATAAATAAACTAAATAAATCAATATGAGTTCGATCTTTTTATTTATGTTTATCAAATAAATATCCTATCGGGTCGGCCGAGCGATTCGCCGAGCGTAAAGACTACAAACCAGAGAAAGGATGGACGCTGCAAATTAAAAGAGAAAGGAAAATACTTGGTAATAACAAGGAGAATAATAAAAGTAATAAAATATCCGGTGTGAAAAAGTTTATTGCATTTGCAATCAATTGCATTCGCGAGATTCGTAACCTTCGCATCCCCGCTGTCGAGCACAATAATCGAGAAACAAAACGCGCGTTTTGCGTTACGCTGCCGTTCCGCCCTTTTCAATTCCGCCGGATATTACGAGGCGATCGCATCGCGCGCTTCGAAAAATGCGATGCGCGAGTGTTTCGGAAAAAGGGAAGAACGAATGCGCGCCCGGCGGCATCTCTGACGAGTGTCTCGCGGAATGCATCGCCGCGATTCGCCGTCGAAGTGCATGCATGAGCGCGCAGCGCGCCGTCGATTAGATATTCAAGGCGGAGGTCGAGGAGGGTGAGTAACATCCCCGATACTCTCCTTCGTAGCGCCTCCACCGCCCGGAGGCCGGTCCGGAGAGGAAGAAGGGCGGGAGGGGGCGCCCATATTCTCGTATCGAATTCTTGTATGCGTTCATGCAAGAAGGGCGATAAATGGAAAAATTCTTGAATCTCGCAGTCGTAATCCGGACGCCAGGCTCCGTTTTCATGGGTTGAGTTTTACGACTATCCCTCGTCGGCTTGCCGATCCCTCTCTACCGTCCTCTTCCCTCAAAGCCACTCTCCTCCCCCGCCCGCTCTTTTTTTCGATCGCCCCCGGTGCTTTCCCCGCTGTCTCGTTCCTTTCTCTCCCCGAAGGACCTGTTCTTTTACTAACTACTTAAATTTCATTTTCGCTTCGATAGAAAGAATGGTGATAGAAAACATCGTGAACTCATTACGAGTAATCTGGGCAAGACTCAATAGTTATTGAATATTAGATCATGCATCAATGTAAGCTATTATTTTTCTCGCTGTAATATCTTCCGATTATCCTTTATGAAGTAAGGGTAGTTGGTGAGCCATTTCGTGTACACGGAGAGAATTTCATAGTAAACATTACTATAATACTTTGTAACCGGGGAGTAGATTAATATTCTGCAGTAATTCCTTTCACTTCACATGTGTTACTTTTATTTTAGGAGCCAAAATGTACTATTGAAATACTCGCTATGTTCTAGCTGTTTCTAGCTAAATATACTGTGTTCCTTAGCAAGATAGACCTTATGACAGTCTATTTGCTTGGAGTATCAAAGGCATAGTAAAATTGAAAGGAGTTTGTATGAAAGAAACTATAATATTCTTTTCGTGTATCATCATGTGGCTCATTTTATGATCTCTTAATCAAACTGTTCCTCCCTTTCCTTTTGACGCACAGCGTGCTTTGGAATTCCAATTTTGTAACTTGAAATGTACAAAAAATCTCGCTAAAGGAGAGTGAAGCCCAAAATGGTCAAAGTATCCGTAGTCCTCGTACAGCCGCGCTTATTCACTATACACTCGTCTCTCGTACCGCTCTGCCTCTTTTTCCGTCTCTCTCTCTCTCTCTCTCTCTCTCTCTCTCTCTTTCGCTTTTCCTAATTAATGGAGGAATTCTAATTCTGCGTTTAATTTTTCATAAAACGTGGCGAGCGAGGAAAGCTCGTCGCATGAGCGTACGCGTGCGTACAAGACGAAGAGAGAAAGAAAGAAAGAAAGGCGGAAAGGAGGGAACGCAACGCAAGCACGGTACGCCGCGCTTTTATTGTGTTGGAATTTCATTCCGAGTGTAATTGTAATCAGTGAGGTGTAATTCTAGCAATTTGTCGCAGGGATATCTAATTAATTAGGTCCTTTCGCGAGCGAACAGGACTCGCTATGGACGCACAAGCGCGGATGTACGCGCGCTCGGCCTGCCATCTCCTCGTTAATTACGGCGGGCGCGCAGGATGGAATTTTTCATCGAAATTATCACACAGCATCCGCCGAGGAAATTAAGATCGCCGTGATGTTCGCGGCTGTACTATGCCGGAACTAACTCCGTTTTTCCTTCTCGTTTTGCGTCGCTCCGTTTACGTCGACTGCGCTAAGAGTGTTAAGTGCGAGACGTCCTTCCAAAAAACTACTCTTAGTCTTGATTTGATATTACGTATATTTGTGAGTAGGCCAACAGATAAATATGTTTATTTGCTCGTCAAACTCAGCGTTTTCTACACTGAGAGAAAAAATATCTAAAAAATAACAAAAAGACATACTTACGATATGTACTAATAACATGTTTACCCAGGTAGATAGCTGTGCAAATTAATTCGGTATCTTTTTCCGCAAAATGCGAAGTTTACTCAATTAGATATAAGTTTAATGTTTGAAACAATTATTTTCTTTGATTTTGTCCCAGCTATCGAACAAAATTTGGTTGTAATTTAATTTGGCGTTAACTTTCCTAGTCGATTTGTAAGAGTTGTTGCAATGTATGTAATTTAATTCTTTATAAATTTGTGGTCAATATTTCAACCACCTCACGTAAGGTAGTAAAGTTTAAAATGTTTCACAAAACAAGACAAAAAATAATTAGAAACAAAAAACTTTATCAGTAATTTTTGTTATAGTATGAAAAGAGGTAATGAAAACAGGTTTACACATACAAATGCTTGCCATAAAAAATGCTGCTCGAAAAATGAAAGTATGATATCTATTTGCAGTATGTAACATAAATTAACATTATATTTGAGCATAGGTTTGTTTATTTTATTTCGTACTCAGAATGCCGGCTGTTCTGGGTTTTTAAAGAAGTGCATTCCACAGGACGGACGTGCGAGTCTTTCAGCGAACGCATCGGGACGGTCCCTCGAACCGATTCAGTCGATATTCTCACGCGCGATCTCAGAATACATTCACGTGCGAAACAGGCCTTAAAGCCGACGGGACTGTTTTCGTGGCGTAAACAAATACTTGTGCAATACGCGAACTGAAAAAAGGAACACGCGGAATCAGAGGTGACCTTTCGCGAGGCGGCATTAAAGGCGATTATAAAAGTCGCCCGATGTTACGGGCGTCGTTCCGCCCCCTAATTTAAGGGACGGAAAGATATCCGAGAGCCGTTGGACTCCGACGATAGACTCGGGATGAGCAGTATCCGGTGATACCCACTTTATCCCGGGGAAACGACGGTAAGCCACCCACACAATGGCACCGTGGAGCCGTCCGCCGATTCAAAGAGTTTGGATTTCGCTGGTCTTTCTCCCGCACGCCCGAGGAATCCTATATCGTTGAAATCGCGAATCTAAAATGCCCTCCCTTCAGCCGGCGGGACGGTCTCGTTCTCACGAGCTAGCGAGGGAACGTTCGTTCCCGATCGGAATGATCGTCGGTGCTGTGTCGTGTGAGCCGCTCGCGGCACCGCCTTTCCTATCGCTCTGTTACATACGCATGGCAAAGGTTTGCCTTGTAATCTCCGTGCGCGCGCGCGCGCGTGCGTGCTTGAGCTTAGTCAAAGTTTAAATTCGATATATACGCCAAGCAAATTCGGCGATATGCTTGCGCGTGAGTTTAAGGTACATTTTCCAGAAAATGTCGAACTGGCGTCGCTATACTCAAAGAAAGACACGGCAGTAACTATACAGGGTGTCCCAGATTCGTCTCCGCAACGCTCGTGGAGACAGAACGGATTGAGGTGAACATAAAAGTCCCGCGTATCGTTTTGCGATACTCGCAATAAATCTCGAGATATTAATTAAAGAAGATTAGTGAAGATTAGTAAGCGCTTTGTAGACTGTTCTAGGATGTGTATGTGACAAGGAGTTTTCTACGTAAATGAGTGAAATACGGCAATATTATAGCATCGATCACTAGTATCGATGAACAATGTTAAAATAAAATCAGCAATGGAACTGTAATTTACGGAAATATGAGTTATCAAGGTCGAGCGAGAGACACTTTCGCAGGACCCTGTTCCATGGGAAATTTAGCGGACGGGCACGGCCGGAGCAGCCGCAAGA